GCACATTTAGAAATTAAACTAAAGAGATAGATGTCCTTTAATTTTCTTGGTGATTCCTAATATAAAATTTAATTGTAAGCAGGTTTGGAGAATTTGATGTTTCCCCATTCAAACAGAATGCTTGAACATACTACCCGGGAGGTGTTTCAAAGATGGTCACCGGGTGAAATGGCTTGCCTTAAAGGGGTTTTGGCTGAGCCCATAGTAAACAATAAGACAACAACGAACAAAGATCGTTTTGGTGAATCAATTTTTATGAAAGTAGGCCTAAGATATATTAGTTTAAGGATTACTTCATATTTATTTAATAGAGGGAAAAAAGGATGTCGTTTACTCACCCAAGTCGTCCTGTGAGCCCAAACCAAACGGCAACCTCCCGCTGTCCCTTGTGAAGCAAGTACGGAAGTAATTGAAACTGCAATTCATCAAAGTTCTGCTAGTCCTGGCTCTATAATAGAGCAGATTTCTTTTGAGCTCACAGTTAAAATGGCCAACTTTACAGCAGAAAAAAGGCGTTTACTAATATTACCCTTTCATGACAAGTGAGGGGATGAATTTATTTAGAACTCATTCGTTTAGGTTATTATAGGTTATATTAAGTCTGCATAATTAAGGGCATGGCCACTTGAGTGACAGCTACTGTAGGTCTCGCTGGTCGCCATCACTTCACCTAAGCTGATTCCGGCTGATTAGCCACTGAACTCAGCATATTCATTGTATTTTTGTGTTGTTTTATGTGGCTTTACTCAGTAAGTTGCCTTTTGAAATTATTTCGTACAATTATCAGATGATATGGCAAGTTGTGTGCACTTAATTGTGCTCACAAACCATTCACGTGGCCTCCATTTCCCAGGTAAGTGAAATTATATACCGGTGCGTATATATAAAATAACATCTCTATAAATGTATTTGTTTTATTTAAGATATTTTATATTTTTCTTTGCTTTTTCAATGCTTAGTGGCTCTTATTTGGTTACCCCCGATTGGAGCGATGACGCGCAAACAAAATGGTGCCGGTTGGCCACGCCCACTTGTAGCTTTGTTTGCACCCTTCAGAAACCTACGGATGACGTCACACATTCTACGTCCATATCTTTTACGGTCTATGGTCCCAGATATGACTGAGGACTTTTAAAGAGTATACATTAATTTACCAATCTCTTCTTTTTCCTTAGCGGGATTACAGTCAAAACATAAACAAGCTTTACCACAAACCTATACATAATCGTAGTATTTCAAGGTTGTTGTTTTTTTTAATGGAAGATTTGTGTGTGGAAAATTATGCGACATATAATTCTTGAAGTGTTCATGAGTGTGGCCATGTACGATTCATCCATGAACGTATCGTTCTTTTGAGTCAAATGTTCTTGAATAATGATTTGATTCCATTTACGTAAGCGGTTGAAATGATTCACTTTCGCGCACATACAAAATTTGATTCTATTCTCGAATTCAACCAACCAAATTCACCAAAACAACGATAAATTGGAGGAATTTTTTTTCACTCAGGAAAGTTTCCATATGGCAAGAGAAAGTACTCTTAATATAGCGCAAATATAGCATATATGCAAGCATTACGTTTACGATACTTTTACATTTTTGGAGAATGATGACAATCATTTCCCACAGCAGATTATATTTTGAGATGGAATAATTTTTCTGAACAAATTGTGATTTTCTGATTTTTTTTAAGCATAATTTACAAGACTAAAAACTTAATCGAGTGTAACAGTTTATATAATACAAATATTGTTGATGAAGTATATAAAAAAAACAACAAAATTGACAAACATTGTCATATTAAAAAAAATGTAATCCCTTCAAACCACTAGGTTTACTAATTTGTTTGCAGGTATTTCATGACTTAAAAATCTAATAAAAATGACTAGAATCTTTCACACATTTGCTAAGTAATAGACAAAATAATCTGATTTTGTTTATACATAAATATATAACACCCTCCATCACAATATGGGTGAATTATTTGACCCATATTTTGACATTTTATTTTCACAAACGTAATAAGCAACATTAAAGCGAACACACAGGCTCGATATAATCAAGATGAATTTATTGGTTTGGTTTATCAACATCCAAACTAAAGCACATCACATAATACTCCAATTTTATAATGAAGTGACGCAGATGAAACTTTCCTGAAGACATTCAAGGCAGATAACAGCATTACGCCATCAAAAAACGCATCCAGCACAACTGCGCAATCACACAGAACTCAATGAAGAGCAAACATACTATCATTCACCAACAAAACAGTGCATGTTTAACTTTGTTACAAGTCAAAATTACAAACAATATTAAAAGGGATAGTTCACCTAAAAATGTAAATTCTGTTATAATTATTTACTCGTTTCAAACCTTTATAAGCTTCTTTCCTCCATTGAACACAAAAGAAAGACATTTTGAAGAATACTGTAACCATTGACTTCCACAGTGTTTGTTTTTCCTACTATGGAAGTCAATGGTTACAGGTTAATGGTAATTATTATTCTTGGAATTTTCTTTAAAATATCTTAGTTTGTGTTGAACAGAAGAAAAAAACATGAACCACTTGAGTAAATAAATAGAAGCTTCGTTTTTGGGGGGTGAACTATCTCTTTAAGAAAGAATAAGCTACATTTGGGAATGCATATAGAAAAGAAAGAGCCCCTTTAACAGTATCACACAGTTTATTTAATAGAAAAATCACACAATATGACTTAATGGACTCCTGCCATTTCCATTAGGTATGCACTGACGTTTTGTGTGTGTGTGTGTGTTCTTTTGTCTGGTTAACATTTCACTAATCTAACCAATGGTTGAGCAGATGAAATAGTAAACTAGTGTCATGGCAGCAGATGGCATTCCTGCCGTTCTCATTACTGGGATCCGTCCAGGAGGTCTTGACCATGTATTATCCGACACTGTGCCAGCAAAGCGATGCCCTTTCCCCCCTGGGGAGCCCAAAACAGCGCTAACTTTGTTCCCACACATCTTTAATTCGACACGGCTATGATGTAATTCCGATTTTCAGGCCATACAGCTCTAAGATTGCGGATACATTTTACACTGAAGGCATTTAAACGAGAGCAAAAGAGTTCATGGCGGCGACCTTAAGCGTTATCTTCAAACTCAATGCTAAAAACGAAGTTGCGGGTGTTGGTATCACTTCAAAACCTAGAGGACGAGAGATAGAGTGTGCTGTGTTTTGAAACACAATATCAGCTGTGGATGCTTTACTGTTCCTGCCAAAGCGGCGTCCTTACCCACTGTAACAGGCCTGCCGGGCTCATATCAGATTATACTGACTCAGTGGCCTCAAACCAGACAGGGCCGGAAAGAAGCAGTTCGCTTCAAGCTCTGCTCTACAATAGGCCAAAAGAGTAATAGAGCAATGCCATACACACACAAAGAAGTGAACACAAATATACTAATGTAGCATGACGAACGATGGGTAATAACCACAATCAAAGCTCGTCGATTGTTAACTGGAGGGATTTTTTTTTGCTTAAGTGTTTGTAGGGTGTAAAGTGTCAAACACTGTAAATCAAAGAGCTAAAATTAAGCAAGACATGCAACCAAACCGCCGTATTCATGAGGAAAGATCAAAGGTGTCTCCCAAAAGGTCATTTAAAAGGAGAAAAGGACACAGAATATTTGGAGCAGATTGAAAATGTATCTAGAAGATCCAATGTTTTCTTGGTCTTTCAGTATAAACAAAAAAGCCCATTTATGAGTCGCAAGCTGAAGGATTTCGTGGAAATAGTTTGTTAAATTGTTTTGATATAACACGACGAACGATGGTTAATAACCACAATCAAATCTCGCCGATCGTAAACAGGAGGGATTTTCTTTGCTTAAGCACGTGTTGGGTGTAAAGTGTCGTACACTGTAAATCAAAGAGCTAAAATTGAGCAAGACGTGCAACTAAATCGCCGTATTCATGAGGAAAGATCAAAGGTGTCTCCCAAAAGGCAAGGTCATTCGAAAGAAACCAATTAAATCGAATAATTTGAGCAGATTGAAAATGTATTTAGAACATCCAATGTTTTCTTGGTCCTTCAGTATAAACAAAAAAGCCCATTTATGAATCGCAAGCTGAATGATTGTGTGAAAATAGTTTATTACATTGTTTAATTTATTGTTTAATTGTTTTGATATAAAACGACGAACCATGGTTAATAACCACAATCAAAGCTTGCCGATTGTAAACAGGAGGGATTTTCTTTGCTTAAGCACGTGTTGGGTGTAAAGTGTCGTACACTGTAAATCAAAGAGCTAAAATTGAGCAAGACGTGCAACCAAATCGCCGTATTCATGAGGAAAGATCAAAGGTGTCTCCCAAAAGAGCAAGTTCAGTTAAAGCAAATGAAACTGAATATTTGGAGCAGATTGAAAATGTATCTAGAACATCCAATGTTTTCTTGGTCTTTCAGTATAAACAAAAAAGCCCATTTATGAGTCGCAAGCTGAATGATTTTGTGGAAATAGTTTATCAAATTTTAATGAGTAATAGAGAGAAGCTTGCTCAAACTACAGCATAAAAAAAAACATTCTTGACAACTTCATTGTTTGATCATTCAGGAAGTTAAATCATTTCAAGATGTAATTACTCTCAATTCAGATTTTATTTCTAGGAATAAACTTGTTTTTATTTTATTTTTTAAATACAGTTCAAGAGTTTCTCTTGCACTTCTGGCTTTATTTTACCTCTGAATTATGAGAGAAACGGTCTTATCAGAAACTTGAGTTTATTTTCTCATCATTTTTGGCTATATTTTAACTCAGAAACATGATAAATCTGAGTTTACAGCTTGAAATTCTGCCTTTATTTGTGAGTTTGTTTTTGGTAAACCAGACTTTTAATTTATAAACTCAATTCCAAATAATAATTGTTTTATTCTGTAACTGAAACAAGCTTTTATAACTCGTTCCCTTTGCTTGTGATTCATTGATGAGGCTTGAACACACCTGACATGCATATAAAAATGAACTGTAATACGTCAGTTTTGAACAGTTATTTAATCAAAACATAAAACCTAAACAAGTTTTGACTAAACACAGGGAACACAAATTAACCACCCTAGGTTCACAGCAAAAATATAGAGAAAACTTGATACAGTGTGTGAAAAGCCTCAACAGGCTTTAATGAATGAAGCGAAAGCACATTATTGACGAACGGAACCCTGTTCTTACACAGCCAGAAGAGCGACGCTGCTGACAGCCAATGAGAACGCAGGACAGGGAGCAGAGCATGAAGGGCTTCGTTCAGTCGGACTTCTTGTCCTGTTGAGCATCACATTTGGCCTGCGTTCAGAAACAGAGCAGAAAGAAGATGAGTTTTCAGCATCACAGACTGACACTGAGATTTGCACAATCCTGGAGGATTTGGATGTGATTTTGGGCTGCAGACATGATTTCAAGAAAAGGGTCCTGCCATGTGACATGCTTATTTTATGACCACAGCTGGCATTTGTTATTTTTGTTAGCATAATCGTAGTACTTAGAAACATCACTTTTCTATGTGTAAAAATGTTTCATATTCATGTTAGGTAATGTACTTACTAACATTAACTAAGTACGAATAATCTTGTAAAGCATTTATTAATCATAGTTCAACATAAACTAATGCATTATTAAAATCCAAATGGAGCTTGTTAACATTAGCTAATGCAAAGTGAGTTAAACTAACATGAGCTAACGTTATTAAATTAAATAACATTAACTAAGGTTAACAAAGACGAATATACGGAACCCCGGAAGGGACGTAGTGGAGGAGAAAAAAATTGGCTGGGTGAAAAAAAATAATGGGTGAAAGAAAAAAATGGGTGGGAGGAAAATATATATATTTCTAAGTTTTTGCGTTCTCTCGCAAAGTTTTGCGTTATCTCGCAAAGATGTTTTGCGTTCTCTCGCAAAGTTGTTTTGCGTTATCTCGCAAAGATGTTTTGCGTTATCTCGCAAAGATGTTTTGCGTTCCCTCGCAAAGTTTTGCGTTCTCTCGCAAAACTGTTTCTCCACAAACACTTCCTGTTCACTTCACTCATGTAAAACCTCCCGTTTTCGCTGAAATTCTCCCATATTTTACCATTCTACCCCACTTTCTTTACATTACTGTGCGCTGATCGTCGCCTTTCACTTTGCAACCTCTGAACCAGTGAATCCATGTATAAGCGCTGACTGACAGACGTGCTTCGTACAATAAACTGATCCCAGATCAGCGTCTGTACGCGCCATTTAAAGGGACACTTCTGTTATCAAACAAGTGAGCAGCAAATGAATCTCATGTTTTGTTTAGTTTGATAACAGTGGTGTCTCTGTAAGAATGCACAGATCTATAATGAAAACAGTCCATTACTTTAGAAACTGTTTTGTGCTCATTAAAGAGAAAATAAGCTGTTTAAAATAAAACATGCAGGACGGAGATGTTTAATATTATTAGTGTATTTGTCTGTTTAAACATACACCCGCTCCTCTTTAAATGGTGTGTACAGACGCTGATCTGGGATCAGTTTATTGTATGGAGCGCGTCTGTCAGTCAGCGCTTATACATGCATTCACTGGTTCAGAGGTAGCATATGAAAGGCGACGATCGACGCACAGTAATGTAAAGAAAGTGGGGTAGAATGGTAAAATACGGGAGAATTTCGGCAAAAACGGAAGGGTTTACATGAGTGAAGGGAACAGGAAATGTTTGTGGAGAAACAGTTTTGCGAGAGAACGCAAAACACCTTTGCGAGATAACGCAAAACTTTGCGAGGGAACGCAAAACATCTTTGCGAGGGAACGCAAAACTTTGCGAGAGAACGCAAAAACTTAGAAATATATATTTTCCTCCCACCCATTTTTTTCTTTCACCCATAATTTTTTTTTTCACCCAGCCAATTTTTTTCTTCTCCACTACGTCCCTTCCGGGGTTCCGTACGAATAAATGCCATGATAAATGTTAATATAATAATTGGGTCACACTTTACAATAAGGTTCATTAATGTTAATTAATGCATTTACTAACATGAACAAATAATGAACAATACATCTACTACTGTATTTGTTCATGTTAGTTAACGTTAGTTAATGAAAATACAGTTGTTCATTGGTGCATTAACTAATGTTAACTAGCATGGACTTGGATGTCAATAATGCATTAGTAAATGTTCAATTATGCTTAATAAATGCTGTACAAGTGTTGTTCATGATTAGTCCATGTTAGTAAATGCATTAACTAATGAACCTTATTGTAAAATTTTACCAATAATTGTTTGTTCATGTTAGTGAATACAATAACTAACATTTACTAATGGACTATTACTTTAGTGTTCGCTAATGTTGTCTTAGAATCAATATTTTTTTATTATTAAAACTGACCTTTTCTGTTTTCTTTAAAGGTAAAGTAGTTCCAATTAATGTCCAATTTAGTTTCTTCAGTTTACCTATAGCGAATGTCTTTGGACTAAGGAAATCAGAGCACTCAGAGGAAACCCACGCCAACACAGGGAGAGCTTGCAAACTCAAAACAGAAATGCCAACTGACCCAGTCAGGACTCAAACCAGGCGACAGTGCTATCCACTGAGCCAAACCGTGAAATTGAAATTGAGCAGCAGGATGGCTCGATGGCTGAAACTGTCACCTGGTTTGAGTCCCGGCTGGGTCAGTTGGCATTTCTGTGTGGAGTTTACATGTTCTCACTGTGTTGGCGTGGGTTTCCTCTGGGTGCTCCAGTTTCCCACACAGCCCACATGCGGTACAAGTGAATCAGATAAACTAAATTGGCTATACTGTATGAGTGAGAATGAGTGTGTATGGGTGTTTCTTTGTACTGGGTTGCAGCTGGAAAGAGTATCTGCTGCATAAAATATATGCTGGAATATCAGGTGGTTCATTCTCATGTGGCGACTCCTAATATATTAGAAGCTAAGCCGAAGAAAAATGAATGAATGAATTCTTGAAATTAAGATAAAAAAAAAACACTTAAATTTTGTGATTTTGGATTTTTAAAAATTTTGGATTTAAAACAAAGAGCTGTGTTTTATTCTACAAACTACTGATGACCATTCTTGCCAACAGAAAATAAAAATGTGCATAAAGTAACAAAAAGGTTTTAGACAAGTTAATAAAAATTGAGCATATATATATATACACACACACACATATATATAATCAAAAAGATCTATATGATATATGCGTGATATATGCAAAACATCAATTCCTCAGTTTTTCTAAAACAGAAATTTTATTCAATTATTTTACATATTACTTTCAGAGCAGTCCAAGACATCATATTTACAAAATAAATCAATTATGTTAATATAGTTTATACCTATGATAACCATGTTATTAAATGTATGCATTTACAAAACTAAGATAAAAAAAAACATTTATAGTTATGTTTGTGAAAATGTAATTTTAGTTTTATTAATGACCTTCTTTCCAAATTAAAAATAAAAATGTAATTTAAAGCTCTTTTTGCATAAATTGTTTTTATAAGTGCAATGTGTTCAAACATGTTTATATTCATTTTCAGATAAAAATGTCAATGGTTTCAGTTCAGGAGCATTAAAAATATATAAATTTGATTAAATAACCCTGGTTTTCAATCACCAGAGTTTCTGCAGGTTTCACAAAGTCAAATGTAAGACTTTTAAAGAACTTTTTAAAGACCATTATGAATAAAAGTTCAGACTAAGACAAACTTTTTTATATATTATATTATAATTAGTCATTTCTTAATCTCAAATTTAAATAAATTGTCAAAAAAAGCAAACCCTAACTGTATGCATAAACATTTTTCAACATTCTGCAACTTATCTTTAAAAAGCTGTAAAAAGCTAAATGTATGCACAACAGTCTGTCCAGGTCAGTGTCCTCACCATATATAGACTATAAATACCCAGGGAAATTTTAAACAACTATTGCAAGGATGATAATTAAACCATATTGGTAAATAGAGTTTGGTTGGTTTGATTGGATTGTTTGTGATTGAATAGTAAAATAAGAAAATTAAGATCTGTTTACAATTATTTAAGACCTACAAGACACAATTTCTGTGAATTTACGACTTTAAGACCTAAAACTTAAGAGCCTGTGAACACCCTGATTACTAAAAATAAAATGAAATGAAAAAGAAAAACGTGTTGTTCTGAGCAATTATCATCTTCTACATTATAAATAAAAAAACCTCTAAATACAAACCAGTATATACAAACAAATACAGTTGAAGTCAGAATTATTAGCCCCCTACAAATTTTTTTTTCTTCTTTTTGAAGTATTTTTCAGATAATGTTTAACAGAGCAAGGAAATGTTCACAGTATGTCTGATAATATTCTTTCTTCTAGAAAAAGTCTTATTTGTTTTGTTTCGGCTAGAATAAAAGCAGTTTTTAATTTTTTAAAAGCCATTTTAGGGACAATATTATTATATATTATTATTAATATTATAGTTAAGCCTTTAAATGTCACTTTAAGCTGTATAGAAGTGTCTTGAAAAATATCTAGTCAAATATTATGTACTGTCATCATGGCTAAGATAAAATAAATCAGTTATTAGAGATGAATAATTAAAACTATTATGTTTAAAAATGTGTTGAAGAAATCTCTGTTAAACAGAAATTGGGGGAAAAATAAACAAGCGGTCTAATAATTCAAGGGGGCTAATAATTCTGACTTCAACTCTACATGTATATAAAAATATACATACAGACAAATATACATGTACATATTCAGATATCATGTAATGAAAGCGCCAGCATGTGTTGTGTTGTGCATGAGAGCGCGTGTAAGCACCTTGTTGACCTTGTTGCTGTTTACTGAGCATGTATCAAGCATGCAGCACGTGTTCATGAGTCTCTTATGAGCTGCTGATTTATAAGTAAACATGAGAGCCTGCACGTCTATCTGCCTCTCGCTCTCCGTCTCACATACACACACTTGAGAAGAGCAGCTCATAACATTCACGATTCCTCAGGGGTCGCCTGACAGGTGCACAGAGTTTAGTGAAATAAACCACAGAAAACAATAAATCACAGCTGAGCGATACCGAGCGATAAAAAAGCATCTGGGCACACAAGAACTACTCTAATGTCAGCTCGCACATCATTAAAACTACAACTACAATGATTTCAACAACTCTACTCTATAGTATACTGCTATAATGCTAATATTACTGACAACAGACTCTTAAAGTGTGATTTCATGAACACACTAGTGACAGCACACGTGTAACTTCTAACTTGACTTGGTTTACTGGAATCAGATGCTCCAGGAAGGCCTTGGTTACTTTTAAATGTGATTCGCTGTAACATTCAGACTG